CCCCCGGGGCAGAGACCCACGGTAGTGAGCCCGGACCGCAACCTACCAGCCACAAAGGTCACCCAGATCTGCATTCCCCAGGAGGTGGAGAGGAAAACCAGGTGCAGCAGTTTGACGGTGTTGGAGGGCTCCATGTCAGTCAGCATGGTTTCCTGGCCAGGGCTGGATCCCTCCATGTCGGCCAAGCCACCCCTAATTCAGCACTGAGCTGCTGTTACTGCCGTCACCTTGCTGGATCCAGCAAACGCAGTTTAGCTTCACAAGCCCACTTATTCAGGAAGAGCTTTGGAGCTGGCACAGCCCCTTCCTAGCCCCGCCACCACGCACCCGACTGGGCTGCAAACCCAATTCTCGGACCCCTTATATCTTAGGGGCAGGGCACTGCGTCAGCATCTGGTAACCAGCCGTTTTGGGTGGACTTTCGGCAAAGTCCAGCCAAAGCCCCATCTGACCCCTGGCAGCAGGAACAAGCAGAAAATCAATAAGAGGGGAAAAGGAAAAGCCCTGACAAATACGCCTGCCCACGTTGTGGCCATCAAAGAGGCTTCTTGGCCAGGCAAAAGTCCTCCTGTCTAAAACCAGCAACAGCTTCTGCACACTTTAACCAAAAAATCTGGGGGCCCGAAGAAGCAGGGCCGGCTCCCGGGCTCACCCCGCTGCCCCAGACCCCACGCTGGCACAAGCATGAGAGCACGGGCAGTGGCGGGGGGAAGGAGGCTTTGAAGGGGCTGCCTACTCCGCTACAAGGAGCACTTTGGAAATTAATTAAAACGAAGCTTCTGGGAACAGCCCATCAATTCTGCCGCCTGCTTTATTCCTCCTCCTCCCCTCAGCCGGCCGCCTCAGGGCATGAATTACAGAAGGGATAGCCTTGAGAGAGACCCTGCCATCTAATTACATCCCGCTCCCCCTGCAAAATAGATAAATATACGCTGTGTTTTTATATATCAATTCCTATGTACTTATTTAGGCATCTATACAATCAGGCCCTTGAACCCTTCTCATGGTAGCATCACGTACTGGAGAAGGCGCTCGGATCCCACCTGGAGTGCTAGCCTGTAAATCCCCAGCTGTCTTCATGGCCTTTTCTTTGCCAAAAGCTTCTTGGCATTTCTGGGATGCTTCCCCACTCCATCCTCCGGCAGCCCTGTCCACTGCACGATGGCAGGAGCCCGGGGAAGGCAGCCGTGGTCCTTTGGTGGGGCTTTGTTCCCTGCATCATGCTGTGCAGGAAAACAGCGATGGGTGCTGTGGGTGGCTGGCACGTAGCCCTCCTGCTCCTGAGGTCCCAGATCTGCCTTTCCAAATCGCTCACCTCCTTGCAAGAATTAGCAGTCAAGAGCAGCAAGGCAGCTGGGTGCTTTCGTGCAAAGAAGCCGCAGCCAGGAGGGTTGGTCAGAGCAGGGGGTAACACCCTGCAGGGATTTCTTTTTTTTTTAAGGGACAAAGAAAAATAGTGATTGATTGCTAAATTGGCCCCAGAGCGGTGCATTTGGTGGGGAGGGCAAATGGGGGACTCTGGGGAAGGCTGGTAAGGGCAGGCTGCTCCCAACAGGCTCCAACGCACCCACCAGCGGGTCCCTCCTCCCCGGGAGCTGGCTGCGGGATGAAGCAGTCAGAGATGGGTGCTCCAGGGATGCTCCAAGCCACCCAGTGCTGCTGTCCACATTCCCCTGGGCCTGAGGGCCAGCAGACGCTGCAGGACTGCAATTTTTCCCCACCTGCACATAAACCACAAGATGCTTCACACTGTTGCAGCTCTCTGTTGTGCCCCCAAAGTCGCTCCTGCTCCATCACCCTGCACCCCCAGGGACCCAGCAGGAAAAAGCACAATACTTTAAGAGAAGGGGAGGTCAGTTAAAGTTTAATGTTCAGGCGAATACATCATTCCCTGCACTTAATCAAGCAGCAGCAATTTCTAACGATAAATAGAAAGGATGGCTCACATCCCGGTGATAAAAAGGCAGGATTGCTCCAAGTTTCGGGAGATAAGAGGGCTCTATAAAAACTGAATGTTTTTTACCACGTTCAGCTTGAGACAGCTTTATCTTGTGGCAATAGCACAGCAGGGGGAGGTTGGGGCAGCGCCGTGCCAGGCCTTGCACAGAGATGTTTATGATCTGAGATATGGCAGAGATTAGGGGCTTATGGCCACAGCCGGCTCCAGGGGTGGGAGCCGCTGGCCAGTGCCCGCAGGAGAGGGGCAGGCAGCTCCTTCTGCTTATAAACTGGGTGGGGAGTTTGGGTGGCAAAATGCCCTTCTAGGGACTGGGTGTTGCAGGGAGGGAGAAAACACCCTGGGTGCCTGGAAAAGACCCTGTGCTCTTTCTGGTACCCCACAGCCTCATCTTACCCGGAGCACGGCATTACTGTTGCTTGCTCAGGGTTAAGCTCTGCAAAACCCTTACTAGGTGTTAAGCGCACAGGGACTTTTCTAGCAAAGGTGAGGGCACGGCTGCCGCCCCGGGGCCGCGTTAAACCTGCCGTGCCCACAGCTTTGCGTGCCTAAGGGGCTTATTCCCTTCCCAGCAGGCAGCAAGCCTTTCAAAAACCTCAATGGCATCAGCAAATCTCTGGTTATGTGACCCAGGAAAGCCTGGGAGGGGGCTCTCAGCAGGCCTGTGGCTGAGGGCAGACATCCCCTGGGGTGTGACGGATGTGTAGCACTTCCACTGTCACCCGTGCAGCATTTTGATGGCTTTCCCAGAGCATCTCAGGGAGAAGCAGGTTGGCAGCAAGGTCTTTTCAATGGTCCTAACCCCATCCTCTGCTGCTGCAGACGTCTGTGAAACAGCTCTGTGCTGCCATCAAAGCAGCTTGGGAGGATGGGGGGGAAACACCCCTGGAGGCACTGAGGGCATTAGTCCTTGGGGCAATTAGGGATAGCATCAAAGCCTTTGAGGCTCTGGGCTTCGGCATCTGCCTGCACCCACTCTCCATGTCCTCAGCAGCCTTCCTCAGACTTAGGGAAACAAGGTTTGGGTTTGTCTTTTTTTTGCTTTTTCAGTGCCCCTGAGGCAGTTTGGGGTTTACAGCTCAAGGTGTTGGTGCACCCAACGGACAGGGACAAGGGGCAGCCCCCTGGGTCTGCACCCGCTCTGCCCCTGCCGTGGTGGCAATGCCTCCAGGCAGTCCCCAAAAGCCACTCGAGTGGAGCACTTACTGACACCCTGCTTCCTGCAATGCACAGTCCTGCCTCAAAGGACGCCCCACGTCCTCCTGAGCCCCAGGCAGCAGCTCTTGGGGGCGGGTGACCCTGAGCAGCCCTGTCCCCCTCCTCGCCCAGGGAAATGGCACCTGCCTGGGGTGTGCTATGGGTGCAGGACCCCCATGCCACGCTCGCTGGCTGGGCAGCTACACAGCTAACCCCGGAGCAGACACTCACCCAGAGCACATATAGATTTTTTTTTCCTTTTAATGCACTTTTATTGCTACTCCTTCCACAGCCCCATGGGGCTGGGATTTCAGCCTGGCGGGAGCAGGGGCTGTTTTCCAGCCCTGTCCCGGAAGAGGAGCAGCACCCGGCAGCCCCAGCGGGAGTGGGATGCTCTGCCGGCCGCCCCTGCACCAGGGAGGGCTGCGGCACCCTCCCCACATCACTGCCCCCTCTCTCCCTTTGCTGCCTTGAAGGGAACCAGCTTCCCCCATAAAGAAATAGTAAAAAAAAAAAAAAAAATCTGTTTTAGGAAGACTTTAGATCGTATAAAGATTCAAGTAGCGTTAAGTGAACTAGAAAACCAAGTCCTGTACAAGAAGAAAAAAAAAAAAAAAAATCTGTTTTAGGAAGACTTTAGATCGTATAAAGATTCAAGTAGCGTTAAGTGAACTAGAAAACCAAGTCCTGTACATCAGCTTATAAAATTTCTAAATAAAAAAAAAGGAAGAAGAAGAAAAGTCATGACATGTCAGTGCAAGGGGTGAGGTGGTACTGTCATGCCCCTCCACCCCAGGCCCTGGGACCTTACTCGGGCCAAAGCCACCGGGGAGGCAGGATCGGGCCACCACCATCCCATGTCCCCTTCCACCACCAAGGTGCCCCCTCATCTGTCTGTCTGTCTGTCAGCAGGGGTGCCATGGCTCTAGAGGTCCTGCAGCCGCACGATCAGGTCCTCCTTGTTCTTCAGCAGGAACTTCTCGCAGGCTTCAAAGGTGGCACAGAAGTTGGAGGACAGTCCCGCCACGTTGGTGGTGACGTAGTTGAGGTACCCTGGCGTAGCCTGGTTGTAGTAAGCCACCTGCAAGGCACAGGAGATGGTTAGTAGGGGCATGTGGGGATGGGGGAGCCTCCCCGATGGGGTGTGACTGGCATGGCCCCATGGCATGGCTGCAGCATCCCACCTTGCTTGTGTCATCCGACTCTGTCCAAATGCAAAAACCAGAGCAGAGCGTCTCCCCCCGTGTGAAGCCAGCACTGGCGGGGTGGGTGGGCAGCGTCACTGACCGAAAGGCAACCACGTAGGGGTCCCTGGGGAGGAGACAGCCCGGTGAGCCAGCACAGCCTGGCTGGCGAGGAGCAGGGGGTTGGGAATGGGGACGGTTACCCCTTGCTGCAGGGTTTTCGTCGGGACGCCAGGATGACGAAGTCCTGCGGCTTGTTCTCGCGGCTGAGTGTCTGGCTCACCACATGGTAGATCATGTCGTCGTCGTCTACTTGCTGGACGAGCTCGGCGCTCCTGCGAGATGGGAGGGGACCAGTCAGAGAAATCCCGCTGTGGCCCCCAAGTCCGGGGGCTTACACATTTACAGCCCACCACCATACCCAAAATATTTTGGGAGACCCAAAATAAATGTTTTCTGCAGAAAAGTGCACTCATCAGCCCAGGTGGAGCCGGGATGGGGACACATAGTGAAAGGTCTCTAGGAGGGATCATGGCTCCGGGGCAACACACTTGCTCCCAGGAAAGCCCAAAGGGACATTCATCTACAAGTCTTAAATTTAGGGATGTGATTTTTGGAAAGGGCCGGGTGCCCCCAGGAAGCCCCGCAGCACTCACGCATAGTGGCTGTTCCTCTCGTGCCGGCGCCGCAGGTCGGAGAGCAGGGAGAAGGCTCGGCTGGCCGCGATGCGGACTGACATCTCAATGCGGAAGGAAAGGAACTTGTCCTCCTCCAGCGTGTACATCCGCACCTCAGGAAGCACAGGGCACGGGCTGGGACATGTTCAGCCAGCACCGAGCCCCTGGATTGCCCAGGCTTTGGCGGCAAGAAGCCGCTCAGGGGGACGGGGCAGGGTTTAATACCTTTTCCTTTTCTCTGGCAAGTGCCCAGTTCGCTTTGGCTACAAGTGTCTTCAGCGCAGAGACGTTGTTGTAGCTCAGATAAACCTGGGGCAGGGGCAGCACGTCAGGGGCAGGAAGGGGGGCAGGAGGCAGCGACTCCCGCAGGGCAGCACCCTACCTTGTTGCTTTGGTCCCAGGGCACAGAGAGCGGCACCTCAGTCTGTTTGCAGGAGACGACGTATTTTCTGCAGGAAAGGAACAGTTTCCCTTATGATGGGACACAAACCACCCACAGACTGTCCCTGTACCCCAGTGCCAAGCCCCCCTCTCCTCCCTCCTCCATCCTTGCATTCCACTTGCATTTTCCACTCACCGGTCCAGCCGAATTTTTTTCCTAGCGCTGGCTTCTCTGTACCTCCTCTCTCCGTCCTGATAAACAGGAAAAGCACATTAGGTTAATAGGAAAAGGAGGAAAAAAAAAACCTGCATCTTTCTGGGAGTGGGCAAAACGTTCAGCAGGGAAGGGCTGGAAGGTGAAGCCCCTGCGCTCACCGGCTGCTGCCCCAGCTACGCTGGCAGTGGTGGTTAGTGATTAACCGTGAGCTATTTTGGCATTGCCACCGCGCTGTGATCAAGCGACAGGCACTGGCACATTAGGAAAAAACCCTCACTGCGGCTGCAGAGCTGCAAACAGGCACTGAAACACAAATCACATCCCCTAGCACGTGCAAATGTCCTCTCCCAGGGAAATAAAAACCAAAAAAAAGCAGCTTATTTTGAAGAAAGCGCTAACGCAGTGTTTTAAAGCAGGCAGAGAGGAGGTTTCAAGGAGCCCAGCTCTGGCCGGAAGATGCTCTCCTGCAGGGTGGGAGAAGAGTCCTAGTTTTAAGGCATCAAAAAAATCAGGTAGGTGGGCACAGATCAGCCAAGGGGAAGGCGCTGCCATTGCTTGCTCACGCTACAATGTACCCCATGACACGCAGGTGTTTCCTTCGCTGCCGTGCTCGCGTGACAGATTTCCTTAAATATTTGGATCCAAGCAAATTATGGATTAGGTTGCTTTGAAAGGTAAAATCAACCTCAGAGGTTTGCATTCTTTACCCTAGATTATGGAAAAGATGAGCTCCAACTTGCAGGCAATATTCTGTTAAGCCTTGCATGGCTAATACGTCTCCATCTCCACACAGGCAAGTGGTTTACTTTATTATTAGTTATACCGAGCAATCAATTTAATTCACTTGCTATTGAGCAATTTCATTTCCATCATCATAAAACTGCATTTGTTTTGCTGTGAATCTGAGAGCCTTTCAGCGCTAAGCGGGATTCCCGGGGGTCCCATGCCACCGCAGCGGGGAGAAGCCAGCCCTGCCCACTCTTACCCCCGGCTCAGGTGCCACCATTGGCAGGGTGCAGGGCCGGCCCTCCTGGTCCAGCACCTCGAAGGTCATGAAGGCGCTGTTGATGTGCCTTCGGCTGACGGACATCTCCTGGCCGTACGCCTCAGTGCAGACCCCCACCTCCATGCTGGGGGGGAGGGGGGAGAGAAGAAGGGGTGAGGGTGCAGAGAGCTGCCGGGAGGGTGGGATGGGGACCCCCTGCCACCGGTGCCCACCTGTTTTTGAAGGCGTTGTTGACGATGGCTTTGAGCACCAGGCGGTCCCCGACTTGCGATGGTCCCCGAAAATGGAACATCTCAATGGCCCGCAGCGTGGGGTGGGCATGGCACAGCCGGCTGCAGGGGGCAAGCGTTACCCCTCAGCCATGGCCTCATGCCCCAGCAGCCCCATGCATTCTCCCTGACCCAGCCAGAGCCGAGGAGACCCCAAAAAATGTCACCCCTGGATTTCAACCACCAAAACCAGCCATGAGAAGGGACAATAAGCAGACTGTGCTGAGTGTGAACCCTTCCCTGGGGTCCTCCATCACCATGCACCCATGGGACTCCCTGTACGGCATTGCCCAAGGGTGATGTGCTGGGGACCATCCCTTTGGAGGGTCCCTACAACCCAGCTGTGGCCTGACCCAGCCGAACACTGCCCTGACTGCATGTTGCCTCCAGGCACGCCATCCCCCCCCCACTGAATCCCCATCAGGTCACCTGGCTGCGATGGTGGCCACATTCTCCATCCAGGCCATGATCTGCCCACCGAAGGTGTTTCCCTGATGATTGGCATGTGGGGGCAGCACCAGCTCCACGCTCTCCACCCGTGTCTTCTCCGCCGGCACCGCCACGCTGCCGTCCCGTGTCTCCAGCTCTGCCGCGGTGGGAAAACAGGATTCAGTGTGTCGGCTGGCCAGTGGGACCCCTGCTCCCGGCACCCCACCAGCCCTTGCTTCCTCTCCCCACGGCTGCCGTCCCACTGCATCAACCCTCCCCCCAGCTGCCTGGCTTGGGGGTCTGGCATGGTGGGGCTAATCCCTACCCCTCCATGGCCAGGGCATTCCCAAACCTCCATGGCGATCACCAGTCTTCCCCCCCCAGCATCCCACCAAGGAAGGAGGATGTCACCAGTGGGTGGCGGGGCTATTTTGGGGCTGGAAGCCCAGGCTGCGGGACATGGTACCGGTTTCACGGGGGCTGCGGATAAGGAGGTCCTTGAGGGTGTCCTTGTGGACCAGCCGCATGCGGCGGCGCTCGGCAGCAATGCTGTGCTCTGTCTTCTCCTCCTCCGTCTGCGGGGTCAGTGGCTTCAGCTTCACCTGCAAAGGGTGACATGGGCAGGGTGCAGTCCCGCTGCGGGAGAAGGCAGGGCTCCTTTGGGCACCAGCACGCGCTCCTATAGCACCGTACATCCCACCACGTGTGTTGGAGCCAGCCACGCTCCTCCTGGGTTATATTATAGTTGCTCACAGAGGGGCCAGAGGACAAATGGCTCCTACAACTGGATAGGGATGCCCTGGGAGGTGTCATACAGCAGGGATGGGCACCGATGCTAAGGAGCTGTCCTGCAGCACTGGCAGGGAGGTACATTCCTGCCCTCTCTGGGCACAAAGGTGGGGGTGGCAGCAGCAGGCAGGTGCCCTCCATGCTCAGAGTGGGGCTGAGAGCCTCGGCATCCCACCGTGCACCCCACACACATGGGATAAGGGATCACCGACCCAATCATGTGCAGATAGCCACAAAGTGACAGCACATGCCATGATGGAAAGCTGGGCCCGGCCCAGCCCAGCTCGTCTCTCCCCAGAGAGGCCATTTCTCTGCTGCCTCTGCGCAGGGGCCAACCGAGCCCCCACAGATACCGGCCGCCGCTCACCTTGCTGTTGGAGGGACCCTGCGCCACAAAGGTGGCATACGCCTTGCAGATGCTGCAGTGCTTCCCGCTGCACAGGTCCTCGTAGCTCACCTGGATGCCCACCTGGGAGAGGGCACAGCACCCCTGAGAGCCAGCTCTGCTCCCCAGGGACCCACATCCCGCCAAGCACAGCGGGAGGGGACCGACACGTGGGATCAAAGCTGGAAACCGCGTGAGGATTTGGGTATTTTGCATTTGGCCATGGTTGAATGGGCGCACACAGCTGGCGGGGACAGGCGTACAGCGAGGGGGATAGGGGTAGGGGTGGGGGGTGAAGGCGTGGGGCAGCACACCAACCTCCATGCTGGAGTTAAAGGCTCGGTTCACTTTGGCTTTGATGTTGACAACTTGCCCAACACTGAAAAACAGAAAGAGGAGAAAGCATGCATGGGTTACACTCAGCTGGCGGGGACAGGCGTGCAGCGAGGGGGATAGGGGTAGGGGTGGGGGGTGAAGGCGTGGGGCAGCACACCAACCTCCATGCTGGAGTTAAAGGCTCGGTTCACTTTGGCTTTGATGTTGACAACTTGCCCAACACTGAAAAACAGAAAGAGGAGAAAGCATGCATGGGTTACCGGGGGACGACAGCTCGTGGTTATCCAGCCCATGTGCCGGCACCGAGCGGCTCCCCATTGAGGTGCCACGGTGTTACGGCTCACCGCCCGCTGCAGTAGCAGTTGCCTGGGACAGTGGGGACATGCCGGGATGGTCAGCAGGGCACAGGGACAGCCACCCCCAAGACATGGGAGCCCACGGGTGTCCAGCCTGGCGGTGAGATGTCACCCCTGAGCATCTGCGTGCAAACGGGTCCCCAGGTCTGGGGTGCTGCTGGGACACCTGAGGGGTGCTGAGGTGCCCAAGGCTTGCTTGGCACCCCCAGCCATGCGGGCATGCACGCTCCTGCCAGAGCAAACAGCTCCTCCAGCCTTGCATGCGCTGCCCTGCACAACGCAGGCACCCATGGGGCCTTCCCACAAGCCCTTGGCTGGCAGCAGCAGCAGCCCCAAAGCTGCAGGCACCTTGACTGCTCCCATCCCTTCTCCACTCCAGGGCCTCCCAGCGACAAACACCTTGGGATACTGGGAGATGGCAGGAGGCAGGATCCGGCCAGGGGCATTTTGCATCATCTCTCACATGAAACATCTGCTGGCAGCAAACTGCTGTTCGCAGAGTCCAGGAGGTCTCCTCTGGGCCCTCAGTAGGCTTCAGAGTAAACACACAGACAGCTTCAGCTCTGCAGCCTAACCTAGTCCAGACTGGTACCAACCAAATGAGCAAATGCAGCATACTGGCAACACCAACAGCAAACAGAGTCTTTACCAAATGCATTATTAAATCAGGAATACTCCTCATCCCCTAAGAGACCAATACTAGAAAACTCAGTGGAAAAATAAACCCTATAACCGCCACTGCAAGTTTGCACCATAGAGGGCTCAAAACCAGAAGTGAGGAAGAGTCAGTGTGTGCTTCGGCACTGTAACTTCCCCCTTGCCCCCACGCATGACTTTGGGCTTCAAATGACTATAATAATCTTGGCTACTCGACACGCTTCACACATTGGCTCTGGCTGGAGCAGGGGTGGCGTGAGGCTGGGATGGTGCCTCCAGCTGTCCCCCAGCAAGGACCCTGGGCCCAGTGGCAACCCTGCGCCCGCTGCAGCATGCCGAAATGTTAGCGGGGTTACGTGAGCAGCTTCCATGCATCTTCCAGGCCATGCCACGTCAGTGGGGTTAATGCTCCCAACTCACAGCAGCGCTGCATTAGGCTGGCTGCTCTAGGGCTGCAAACGTCCGTACCAGACACCGCTCTTCCCGTCCCGCTGCTCAGGAGGGTTTATATACAGCTGGCTGGTGCGAAAAGAAAAAGCAAGATGGGGGGAGAGGGTTAGAGATGAAGGAAGCAGTGGCATTGCGAGGCTGGAGCACAGATGCTCCGGCTGGGTTTGCAGCGAGGGGCGTGCAAGGGCAGGGATCTGGGCAGGCGCATTGGCAGCCCCGGCTGCCTATATTACAGCCCCCAAAATGCTTTATCCTCTCTCTCCTTATCAAATGGCACAAGCTGGTACCATAAAAGCCACATGAACCCATGTGAAATCCTCCCAGGAGGCTGCACTTCCACACGGTAGGGCTGAGGGATGGGAAGCATCCAATGCTCAGCCAGTGAGTTTTTAAGTCAGTGATGTTTTGGGGTCTCCTCTGTGCCCCAGCACCACAGCCCTTCCCTGCCCAAGAGGGTCTCTCCCTTGTGGTGGGAGGGCAGCAGAAAGCACAAACAGCCGAGCAAGGAGGAGAGCAGAAGGCAAACACTGCCCAAAGCTCCTCTGCCTTCAAACAGCTCTGTGGGAAATCCCTGCCAGGCCCCTCGCTCGGAGCATTAAGCTAGACCACAGCAAGCAGGATCTGAGCCAGGAGCAGCACAAATTCCCTGGCCCCTTGGAGCATTGCCCAGCTCACCCCCAAGGAGGGGCGAATGCCTTGCAGGGCTTGATTTAATGCTCTGGAGCGGGGCTCGGGTCCGTTCTCCCGCTTCTGAAACCAACAGGGAAAAGCTTCCCCAGCAAAGCTGCCCCAGGAGCTGGAGCCACGTGATGTTGGGCACGGCACCCGCTGAGCCCTCTCGGTGCAGAGCATTGACGCTGACGGTGCCACCCAACAGGCACCCCAGCCTCTGCCAGTGACTTGCCAACCCACCAGCACCGCGGCACCTGATGTGAGATGGAGAAAGTGGGAGTTTAACGTTTCCTGGGGATGACAGTGAAACTCAAGACCAAGTCGGACTTCCCGGCACCAAACAAATCAGCCGACAGCCTGGGACCCCAACGCCAGCCCTGGGCACCCGCAGCTGGTCTCTGCCCTCAGTGGGCAGACCCGCACGGTGGGGAGCTGCTAGGCAGCGTGGATCCTATACCGCATGGCTTGCTTGGCCAGGCCAGCTTTTGGCCAGCAGGTCCCCAGGGGATGGGGGTGCCAAAAACCCCTCTGCTGGCACATGGGCACCTCTGCCATCGGGCCCTGCAGGCACCTTTGTAGGTGCACCAAAACCCTGCGCCAAAGCACCCCTGGAGCTCCCTGAGATGGTACCCGGGGGTGAGCAGACGGGCATCCCCCTGCACGGAGGGGTATGGGGGCTCTGAGAGATGAGTAAAGGCGGGTGGCAGCACCTGGGCTTACCGAGGGTGGTAAGGGAGAAGAACACCTTGGGTACGTAAGACCTACACCTGGTGGGAATGCTTATGTTGTCCCCCGCAACGTGGCAGTCCAGGGACTGTGCGCATCGAGGTGGGCACCTCTGCTGAGGCAGTGCCCAAGGGGGTGCTGGGACAAGCCTGGGAGGGGATTTCGGCCAGGCAAAGCTCAGTCTGGTGCATCTCACAAAGCAATGCTCAAGGAGGTCCCACTCCTCCCAGCACCCGGTGGGTGGATGAGCTCTGCCACATGCCAGCCACCCACACGGCTGCTACAGAGGCACGATTTGCAAGATTTAAGTTTTCCAGAGCACTAAGTGAGAGTCATTTCTTGAACAAAGCCAGGGAGCAGCTGGGGTCAGGGCAAATACCAGGAAGCCTACGCAGCAGGAGCTCTGGGAGCGACCAGACAGCAGATAAATCAGAGCAGACAGTCGGTCCACAGCCCCGCAGCAGAGTCAGAGCCTCAATCCCTGGCTGCCCCGCGAGCCTGGTACTGCCACTGCATCTCCTTCCCTCCCAAGCATGCTGCTCCCTGTCCTGGCTCCAGCCCCACCGTCCACGTTGCACCCAGCAGACAGGAGGGAAAAACCCCATCCTCCTCACTCGCATATGGCCCGCTGGAGAGTGGAATATTTACCTAATGGTATGCTCAAAATAGATATCATCCATGGAAGCCGTGACGCATGGGCACCCAGCATGTCTCTCGGCTGGAAAGGAAAAACAAACTACATCAGCTACCTGCAGCAACATGCCGAGCGTGCGAGGGGCACGCGTGCTCCTCCGCCCCACAGCCGCTGCCTCGGGGCTGGTGACACCGGTGAAACCTCAGCTGGCGTCCCTTTTCCTGCTCGTGCCCGCCTGCTGCATTTGCAGGGGACGAGAGCAGGGTTTGGGGTTTCTCCACCCCATAGCAGCACGGGTTTGCAGATGTTTTAAGGATCTGGAGGGTGTGTTATAACTAGGAGGCACGCTGCCCTGCTGTTTGCCTTCCCTCGATGTTTTCAGCCACTGCAGGGATACACAGGCAGCTGATATCATCTCCGTGTACGCAGCAAATATTTTAAAGCCGTCTTGCTGTTCCGGCTTTCTCTTGGGACTCTGGGAACCTCAAACTGCAAAATTGCCCTGGGAAGCTCATCAAACTGCAATATTGCACCCGTTTTCCTCTCCCCATGCTTGGCGACCCACAGCGCGCTTGGCAGGGTGAGCTTCTCACTGAGCAGAGGAGCTCTGCCCCTCCAGCAGAGCTCTCCGGCCGCTGCCAGGATGCCAGGGACGTCACCAGCCCAGTCTCACCATGCCCTGCGCACCAGGCAAGGAAAAGGGCAGCATTTGGGAAGAAGCAGGCGTCGATTTTGATCAGTCCCTGAGCAAGCGTGCGTGCTGCAGTGCACGTCTCCTCCCCCTCTTGTCCTGCTCCCATTTGCTCTCTAATTACTCAGCAAAATGGCATGACGTGGGTCCCCAGCTGGCGTCAGCTCCGAGGGATGGTGCTGGACTGCTGGGTGCGCCACTGATGAGCCAGCTCCTGGGGACGTCGCCAGGTCCTTTCCCTCCTGGCCCGGCAGGGCAATGGTTTCAGTGGGAGAGGATGGCTTACCAGAGAGGCAGGCGGCCGTGTCGATCCACTTGAGCAGCTGGCCGGTGCTGAGCTCGCCGCGGTGGTTGGTGTGGCAGGGCAGCACCAGCTGGCTCATCTGCACCTCAGTGGGGTTGCGGGTGGGCAAGGGGCTCGCCATGGCCCCCGGCACCTCCTCCCGCTCCCCTGGCTCCTGGACACGCAGCGGAGAGGTCGAGCCCTGCAGGGGACGAGAGGTCCATTTACCCAAACAGGAGGAAAATCCCCTGAGAAAATGGTGAACCAAGCAGCCCCCATCCCCATGCAGAGCCAGCAGGACCCCCAGTCCTGCACAGCCCTGGGCAGCACCAAAACCCACCCAGACCTTGCTAAAGATGTGATGTCCACAGCCAAAAGGAAAAAAATCCCTCTAAAAAGAGCTCTGTGAGTGATCACTGCAGGTTTCCAGGCCATTTGTCATCCAACCCTGCTGCTTCCTCCCAAAAACTGTGCAAACCCTCCCCCCCCCAAAGTCAAACAATTCTCTGGGAAGGAATTTTGCTTCCCCGACAGCTTCATTTTTAGAGTGCTGCAGCGAAGGGTGGTTTTGCACTCCCAGGGCTTGTACCCAGGGCTGGGCAGGCAGCGATGCTCCACACCTTCCACCAACACCCCCCTTTGCCAAAGGAAACACCGAAAGCAGTTTTTCCTGGCTGGTACAAACAGAGGGAGTGAAAGCATCCTGAGTTTGGGGTCGTTTGTGCAGTTAAATGCAGCCCTTATGGGCTTCACAGTTTGCTGGGCACAGAGCCGCTCCTGCCTGCCGGCCCGGCAGGAGGCGGGTTGGAAGAGAGAGGCTGGAATTGCTACTGTGCCGACAAAAAAAATAGCTGATTAGATGTCAAGTGAGCTGTGTTACACAAGGGGTGAACTCAGTTAGCCCGGTGAGTAATTGAGGAGACACGAGGAGCCGTCTGGGCTTCGTTACAGCCCTTCCTTCCGCTTTCTGCTCCCAGTGTGGCTCCCATTTACAGCACTTGTTGCGAGACCCCTGTTGCAGCAGCTTCTTTGCCCTTTGGTTTGCCCGGCTTCTTTTAAAGATGGGTTTATGCAGGAAATGAAGCTTTCCCGACTACCCCGGGCTCACCGCCTCTCGGAATAGCATTTTCCTCTAGCAGGTCTAACCTCTGTTTCCATAGCTACTGGTACACGGCATCCCAGGAACGGCACAAACCTTGGCTTAGCAGAGACGGTGGTGAACACGGCAAGCCAAGCCTATGGCAAAGGGCCCCCCCATCCCGCGGCGAGACGGACCCCCGGCCGCCAGAGCCCCTCCAGCGGGCTCCAAACCCCTTTGTGAACCTCCCGGGCTGTTTCCCAGCGTGCCGAGGTGCCTACACGATTACCACGGAGCTATTTCAGGAAGCCAGCAGGCTCTGGGGCATGAGCCAGCAATGCAAAGAGCTTCAAAGCCGCCTGCTGCAAAGCAAGCAGCCAGCCTGGCCGGAGCTCCCGACACTCATTTTCCCAGTGCTTGCCGTTTCTAAATTTTAGGGAAAAAGCTGGCACCCCATGGGAACAGCCCTGACCCTGCGGTAGGCAGCAAGAGGCCAGGGATGCTGATGGAGTACGCATGGGGAGCAGATGCAGCTGGAGCCGGTGCAGGGCTGGGAGCAGCTCCCGGCACGGGGTGGCATCTGCCTGGCACAGCCTTGGTTAGTAGCTGCCGGCATGATGGGCAGCCCCAGGGTTAGTTGCACGGCACGGGGGGTACCTGGAGGCCATTGCAACAGAAGCTCAAGATCTCTTCAGGGACTACAATATTTTCCTTGACCATTTTTAAGAGACACCTGGAAAGGAGAAGAATGGCTCCGGTTACAGCAGGACCGGCAGAGCCGGGGGTGGAGGACACTTGTGGCTGTCCCCCCAGCAGGGACGAGGCAGCGTGTGTGGCGGGTGCTGCAGATCTGCCGCCTGCCACAGCCGCCTGCATGGCAGGTTTTCACACCCTGTCCCCGTGCCCCTCCCTGATGTCCCTCCCCATGCCACCGGCCCCTCACCAGCACCTATCAGGGGGGCCGCCAGAGCCGAAACAGAGAAGTGCGCCTGCCATTCCTCGGGGGTCAGGTCCAGCGCTCACAGGCTGTGATGGAAAGGATCCCAGCTATTTTGGGGTGCTGGACTGAGCCCAGGGCGCGGTACCATGGCCCATCCCTCAGTCGGTGACGCTGTGTCAATACTTTCCATGTTGCTACATGTGACAGAGGGCTGTGTCTTGAAGCTCCCCTGGCCGGCGTGGTGACATCGCCGTGGTCACAAGACAGCCAGGAGCATATTTTTGGCAGCGGGCAGGACTCATGCTGCGCACGGGTGGTACCAGGGGTAGCAAATGGGAAGCGCTCGTTGCTGGCAACGCCACCGTGCCCTGCACTGGCCCCTCTGCCTGTGAAGCCCTGGCATCCCCCAAGGGCATCTTGTGCCCCTGGGTGCCCGCGGGCTCCCCAGCCACATGCACTGTGACCAGGTCCCAACTGGACACGGTGATGGCATTGCAAGGAAAGGCAGCATGGGAGCTGCAGCAAAAACAAGTGGAAGAGGCTTTATATTTACAGTTTGCTTTTAAACACAACACCGACGGGCCCTTGGCGTGCCCTCAGCTGTCCCAGCAAACATCCCGCTCCCACATGGGTCCAGCCAGGCTGCCAGAGGCAGCAGCTCCTTCCCCAAGGTGCGGGACTGACCGATTTTGGCACGGGGTCAAAAAAAGTGGAAACTGCAGATTTGCCTTCTGCACTGTCAGCCCTTTGCGGGAGCTGGCATTGGGGCATTGCACGGTGCGCACCCATTGTGGTCGGTACGAAATGAGGGTGCTCAGAGCACCGATGGATGCAAGCAGCACCGCTGAGCCTTTCAAAGCCTCCCACCCCTGCCTCAGCGGCACCAGGCTTTGCTTTCCCCAGCCCCACGACTTCTCCAGGCTTGCTATTGAGGCTTGGGAGCCTGCTTACAGCTCACCCACCCCTGCAAGAGCCCAGTGCAAGAGTTAGTCTCCTGGTTAACAAGCTGGGTTTGCTCCCCAGGTTTGCTTTATTGCAGGCACAAGGCGGTGGCAGTGGCTGGGGGTGGCCCCATCACACCCCACGGCCGCAGCAGCCAACGCCAAAAGGCACGCGGCTGGGGCCATACCTCAGAAACCCAAACCTGCTCCTGGCTCTGCAATTGTGTCACCTTGTCCCCCGGGTTGGGTTAGCAGGAGGGGGACAAAAAAAGAGCCGTCTGGTTTGCATCCATCGCCCCTGTTATTTCCAAGGTGGTCCCAGCCCATGCTCCCACCCTGGAGCGCAGGGCTCTGCCCGGGGAAGGGGAGCGCCCCAGCCATGCGTCGCAAACATGCTCCAGAGGCCCAGAACCATTCAGCTGGTGGGTATTTATAGAGTATTCAGTTACCGAAACTAAGCGAGCAAGTGTCTGTCCTCATTAAAATCTTCAGCCTCACTCAACTGTCACATTTTTAAAGCTGTTGACTGATGCAGCCCTCGGGTCACCATGGCAACGGGATGCAGTACCCAGGCGATGATGCTCTTACTCTGTCACCCCTTGAGTGACCCACTTCTACCCCCAAAAAAAAAAAAAGTTTGCCTTAGAAAAAAAAACCTTCCAGCAGAATATTTTTCTTGCCTCCTGCCATGCTCGCTTCCTGCACTGCTGAAGGCATAAGGAGCCCACAGAGCAAACCAGGGGGGACGGCACAGTGGGGGAGGCACCCCAACAGCTCCACAAATATGGGGAAAAAGGACTCCGTAGCACCCCACTTCTCTCCCATATCCCAACAGGGGGGTGTCCTGCAGTGCCAAAGCACCCACAAGCTCCAGGGATGCTCTCTGCTACCGAATTGGGTGCTAGCCTCTTGGAAAATCACCGGGGGACCATCAGCCCAGGGGATCCTCCATCGCAAAACCCTCTCGGGTCCCACAGCCCCTGGGACGCTGCCGGGTGGGGATGCAGGAGAGCACTCATTCCACCAAATCCTTGAGGCTGCTGGAAGTGAGGTGTTTACTTTAGCCACCCCCAAGCAACGGATGGGAGGGAGGGGCGAGGGTGAAGCTGGGGCAGGGGTCCTGGGTGCCGGGCTGCAGGGGACTCTGGGCAGAGTGGGGCAGTCCCATGACTCAAGCTGACCCCACCTGCCCTCCAGAGCTCTCACACCACCCCACCGCCACCTCCTGAATGCCTAACCCCCATTTTCCCTCGCCTGGCTCTAGTCTCCTACCCCCACACTGGCCCCTCAGCGCATCCTTACCCCTCTCTGGGAATATTTAAAGAAAAAAGGGGGGGTGAGGGGGGGAGGAAAGTGGCGACAATGAAGTTCTCATGGGGGATTATTGGTGTATAATTGAGCAATATCCATGGTAACAAGCAAATCTGCACGCATTAAAAAATTAACCTGACCTACTTTGGGAAATTCTGCCATCTCGACAGGGCAGTGAGGGCTCTCCTTCCCCCGAGACCCATCCCGCCAGTCCCACTGCCAGCAGCGGCAAAGCCCCGGTGCTCCCAGGGATGGGAGAGGCAGGTTTTGTGCAAGGGGAGGTGTCCCCTCCAACCAGACCCCCACCAGTGAGCGGTGGCGGAGATGCCCGGCACAGCTCAGCTCCATCACCCACGGGTCCCTGGGACCTGCAATGCTTGCTTGGATGCAGGGTACGGGGTGCTGGCTCCTTTGCGGGGCCGTCGGGATGGTGGCCCCACTGGCACGAGAGGGACCAAATCACCAGGTCACGGCATGGCGAGGAGACGCAGCAGTTCCCTGTGGCGGATCTCGGCGGGACCCCAGGAGGGCAGCTGGCCCAGAAGAAAGGTGAGGGCGCCCTGTGAGTAGTATTTTTGGGACCACACATGCTTTCCCTAGGGTTTCATGGAGCAAAGCAAGGCATGGGGCCAGGAAAGTGCAAACTGAGGGCCAAAGGCAGCAGGGGGCCACGAGGACGGTCTCCTTTGCAAGGGGCCGACGGTTTTACATCCGCTGGCACCAGAAACCTTCACTCGGGGCGAGCACAGCGGGGACCCCTCCAGCCCTCTCGCATCCCTCTCCACCACTCAGTTCAACGCCGGGTGAAGCATCCCCAGCCCTGGTTGTGCCCGCAGCCCCCAGCCCCATCCATGCCCCTGCCCAGCCACTCTCTGTGGCTCCCGGGAGACTCCCAGGAAGGTTGGCACCGGTTTGCCGGCACAGGGGCAAAGTCCCCCCAGGGAGTGTCCTAGGGAACAAAGGTCCCCTGGCACTGCTGTCTCCAGCCCAGGGGAGAGCAAAGCCCTGCATCACCCTGTTACGGCTGCAAACACTGCCGGAGCCAAAATTCACAAGTGTGGAGACAACCAACAGCATCGCCCAGCCCAGGCACCTTTGCCCTGCTGCCCACAGCTTCCCCAGGGAGGAGACTGCCGTAGCATCAAGACCACTGTGGTTGAGACCACCACAGTCAAGCCCACCAAGTTGGAGACCACCATAGTGGAGATTGCCACGGTTGAGACCACTGTGGTTGAGACCACCGGGGTGGAGACCACCACAGTGGAGACCATGATGGTGCAGTGGTCTCCACCCTCGTGGTCTCCACGCTGGTGGTCTCAACTGTGGTGGTCACCATGGTCGAGACCACCTCAGTTGAGACCACCAGGGTGGAGACCACCACGGCATCATGCCACCCACCCCATCCAACCACCCACGCTGACCTGGCCCCGGCACATCCCTCTGCCCTCCCCACAACACCAGCGTTTCCTGCAGCCCTGTGCCCACGCTTCCCAAATATCTGCCCCCCCTTTTAGGTGACAAAAGGCTGATTCAAGCCAACCTCCCCGGCATCCCTCCCAGCACACCGAGAAAGCCCCAGGGGGAGGTTGACGTTGCCAACTCTCACCCACTGTCCCCATTGCAGCCAGAGAGTGCCACGTACCCCTCAGCGAGCTGCCGGTGCCGACTACAATGGAGCTGCAGCATGGCTCGCTGCAAACCCCAAGGGCAAGAGGGCATCACCCGGGTGAGCAGGGGGGGCAAAAGGGGCTTGCACCCCACATCCTCCCCCTGGCAGAGTCACCCAGCGCTGATGCAAGCCAGGACAAGCCACTGCTCCACCGATG